GGTGTCGAATCTTTTTTCTTCTTTTTTCTTCTTTTTTTTAGTACGACAGACTGCCTCGTCTAATTAATGTGTATGCCATGGCTTGATTCCGGTGAACCAGAAACATCCCGAGATTCGGGCCATCCCAGCTGCAACTTCTCAAAGAGCATAGTTTTTGGTTGCGGAAGGATTGTTACTCGCTTTGTTGAATCAACAATACCTCAGTAGAATACCAAAAAAGAAGTACTTAGTTATAGCATTGTTGTATCGTAGAAATCACTTGTAGAGACTACATCACCAGAGACTCAACACAACACCTTTCCAATATCAAGACCTCCCCGATTGTCACGTCGCGCAGGATACGAATACTTCAAAGGCAAAGACTTGTACAAGTCCATGCATCGAGCGCAAATACTGTGCCTCTTGTCTCTTGGTACGGTGTACCGGATCCCAGAACCCCCAAAGCAATTGACCACGTCGACTCGCTACATGGCTACTAGATGGAGAAACACGTCGGGGACTTCTCTCATGTCGGTGATCACATTTATACGCTTTGCAGATTCGTAGTAGTGCAACATCGGCTCCTAGTTACTAGGGTTATTAGGTCTCTCGGAGAACGAAAAGATAGCAGCTCACCTTTTTGGGAGAGTAATCTCGACATTCTTTGTCATAGAAGGACGAAACCTTGAAAGCATCCACGGCCATTCTCTGACAGCTGAGACAAGATTCTATCTTATTTGCGGGTGATCGAGTATTCGCGTGTCCAGGAACCAAGCAATCGTGTCTGATCGCTGAGGCTTTTTTTGATCAATTCGCGTTTCGTTGCTTTTCATAGGGCTATATCATCGCATGTTAGTTGCCCAGGTGTCTCTGTACACCAACACTGAAAATCCAGGTACTTCGGCCACAACTTCAAAACATACAGTTTTTGTTGCGCAAGCAGACGGTTATTCACATTGAAGTTGACACAACAATACCTCGGTAGATGATATAGTCCCCTGGGTAGGAGATACGAAAAGCAATTGGTTCTAGCAGTGTTTCACGATCAATTGCAATTTTGTTACCCAATGATTACTTTACTTTCGAGACAACATTATTATACAAGTAGGGGGACTACCCTGGTACCAATCTCCTTAAAGCTCTTAGCTGCCAATAGAAACCATCCGATCCTGCAATAATCCCACTATCTATGTAAATGTACTCCGTACACCTCAGTTGACCCCGGAAAGAGGTATGTATGCTGATCCTATACTCCATACTCCGCAGGGATCTGAAAGAACCACAATAATACAAGAGGAAGAACGGTGGAGCCGCTGTACAACCGGCTTTTCAGGGCGTGGAACATTTGGAAATACATGCATGTTGTACGAAATTGCTAGGCTCGACTGTTGAAAAAAGTACTGCGTGCTCTGTAGAGATTCTTATATTACCGTTCTGGGGTTTCAAGCCGAAAAGCCTGGAGTTCTATCAAAGTACTCCTGAAGGCTGTGATCAAGCATGGCTGGGTTTGAAAATCCACTTATATTGACAATTGGTTCCCGCCCCATAGGGTTGTACCATGGTACGGAGTACTCCGTGGACCTCGAAAAAGGGGCCAGATAAATAATCAAGATCACCACTCCATTGAACGAGATCCAATGGCGATGTAACTCGAATCAAAACACGGGTCCGGCAATCACGCTCTTCAGATGTCTCATGATGATGGAGGAAATAAAAGTACGAGAAATACCGTTATCTGAAACACATTTCCCAGCCTCTTTGGCGGTAAGACGGTCTAGACATGAGCTGCATGCGCTGGCTGCGCTGGCTGGCGCCTCACAGTAGTGGTTGGGCCGGGGCTGGGGACCCAAAAGAGGGTCTAATAATAATGATCTCGATGAATCACTTTCCAGTGGAGAAGTGCATTGGGCGGTATTGGTATTGGTATCAATGTCCCGTATTCTGTAACGCGCCGTGTTGTGAATACTGTCAGATATGGGCCAATGGCTGTCCAGCAAACGCCCAATGGCAGAATCAAAGCAAAAGGACACTTCTTATGCCGAGGGAATCACTGTGAACGTGTCTCCGCAACCCCAATGCAATTGTGCCGATGTGATGGAGCCAAACAAGATCGGCGCCAAGAGGATCCAGATGTCCGATTCGACCCGGAGGTTGCCATGGCGATGGGTCAGTGGCGCGGTGACAATACGCGCAGGCTGGCCAGCCCCCCATGTGAAAGGGCCCGATGTGTACGGAGTATTGCAGTTCGGGTATCCATCAATGGAGATGCATTTCTGGGGGGTTTGGAGTGATTGACTAAAGCAAGAAAGAGAATTCAATTGTCAGACATATTGTGCAATTCTAATAGGACAATTCAAATACCGTAGAGAGACAGTAAGGAGAAGAGTGAACCTCGGTGATCAGCGGAGAACCCAAACCGGCAAGGCGGCGTAAACAAATGGGTTGGCATAAATAATCGTGATGCTCGCCAACTGCGCTGGTCTCTTTCTTCTTCTTCTTCCATTCCTACGATCTAACATTCTCCATCTCTTAAGCTTATCTTACCCCCCTCCATTCCAATAATCTATCTATCTCTTGTAGGATAAAAAGAAACTTCTCTTTTTCTCCTCCCCCACCCCGAGAAAGACTTCCCTTTCAAGTCTTTTCTTGTTTAGTCTTTCGAGTTGTTTAACGACAGTTCGAAAGGCATTCGAGAAAAGACGCTCAAAAGTCCGTCAATCTGGACTTTGACGCCCGTGTCCCAATCCCCTTCAGTGTCTTCCCGTCGTCGTACCGGAGTGACGCTGTCTCTGAAACTACTCAGACTAGAGTAGAGGGAGAAGTCAATTTCGATCGTACTTCGCGCGTCGAACGGGAAGATACTCGAGGTTCTGCTCCCCTTCCCGCTCCTGTTCACGGAAAGGAAGAAGTCGAATTCCGCATTCAAGAAGAGCGTCCGCGCATTCAAGAAGAGCACCCCCAGTACCAGCAATCGCAGCAGTACTCGCAGTCGCACTCTCACCAGCCCTCGCACAACTACGCCCCTGAAGTTGAACTTACTCGTGAACGGTATGTAATTGTTTTTCCCTGGTATTGGTTTTGTGATCTTGTGTTTTTTTTACCCCCCAACCTCCAGAGATCCACTTGTGAAAGTGGAGACCTGCAGCTGAACTATCGTTATTTGTTGTGAGATCTCCTATCTTGGTTTAGAGTGATTACGGATTTGGTCGGCGACTAAAATTACGTGTCATCAAAACTTGATCCACTTCAATTAGCGGTGACTGGCTTGTTTTGTTTATATGTTTATGGTACCCGTGCATGTGGGCTGACCTTTCCCAGCTACCCCAGTTACCAACAACCTTCCGTCGACTACGAGGACCGTACTCAAGTCTACGATAAAGTCGTCGAGAACCAACTCGATCTTACTGAAAGAGACTACCGTGAACGTACCTCTCCTTCCTACGACCTCGACGTCTCTTACGACCGTCGTTATCGTCAGCCCGTAGACTCCGCCTACGGTTACCAATCCCAGTCCGTCGACGTCTCGTACGACCGGACCTCCCAACCCCAGACCGACTCTTACAAGGCAGACGACGTCTACCTTCGTGAAGTTCAGCCCCGTGCTCGTTACTCCACCCCGACCCAAGTAAACGTTTCCAAGTCCACTACCCGTGACACCGCCCCCACTCGCAAAATGGGTTACTACGACGACGAAGGCCAGTACCACTCCTTCCGCCGTGGCGTTGAGCGCGCCGCCGACCGTGTCATGCACCCCTTCTCCCACTCCGAGCATGAGGAGTCTCACTCTCACGCCGGTGAGGTCTCTGCTCCCCGTGAGAACGTCCGCATCGTCGAGCCCCGCAACCGCGGCACCGCTGGCGAGACCGTGCCCATCCCCTGCCACTTCATCCGCGTCGGCGACATCCTGATCCTTCAGGGCCGCCCTTGCCAGGTGATCCGCATCTCGGTCTCCCCCCAGACTGGCCAGCACCGTTACCTCGGTGTCGACCTCTTCACCCGCAAGCTGCAGGAGGAGTCCAGCTTCGTCGCCAACCCCTCTCCCTCTGTGGTTGTCCAGACCATGCTCGGCCCCGTCTTCAAGACCTACCGCATCCTGGACCTCCGTGATGATAACCGCCTCGTCGCCATGACCGAGAGCGGTGATGTCAAGCAGGGTCTCCCTGTCATCACCCAGGGCCACCTCTTCAAGCGCATCAGCGATGCCTTCGCTGACGGCCGTGGTTCCGTCCGTGCCCTCGTCATCAACGACGGTGGCCGTGAGCTCGTCGTCGACTACAAGGTCATCCACGGCTCCCGTCTGTAAATTTTTTTTTCTGGGTTTCTCCTAGAGGGGGTCTGGATACGCTTGTCCCTCATCCATGGTGTGATGAATAGTTATTTGTTTTCTTTTCCTTTGCTTGTGTGATTTAATTTTCTTTTGTATGACGATCTCATGTATGCAACTCTTTGTGTACTGGTAAAAACTTGAATGGGATTTATCTGTACTCAATTAGCCTTGACTTCCTTGTAACTAGCTCATAATGCAGAAATCAGGCCCTTGTCCACACTTATTTACTCCGCTTTTTCACTTTTCTAGCTCATATTGAAGTTGGGCAGAAACCCATCTTGCATATACTATTGCCTTGACGAGAAACAAGTTTTCCCTGTCTTTAGCTTTTGGTGTTCCTTTAAGTTAAATATGAAAATGTTGAGAATATTGCCATTCTCTTTCACCGGCGTTGTTGAGGTGAAAATGCAGATCCCGGGATATATATTTCACGGCGTTGAGGTATCCATGGATGTCCGGACACGGCTTCCAAGGTTCCCATTCACTGACCTCTGTCATGTCCGGCCAGTTGTCTTGAATTTTCTATAGAGATGTGTTAACATCTAAATTGAGGACCTGCGAAATTCCTTTTTTGCCATTTTGGGTCTAGCGCCTCAATACGCCATCGCGTAGCCTTCAATGCCACCGACATAAGAGTCTCAATCTCCACCCAGCTACCTACATAGGTATACAGACTCAGCTATGTACACCTGCCCTATCCTATACTTCGTTAAAAAGTTTGCCGAAGAACAATCCGCCGCCGTATGCTCCCTAGCCCGTTTACCCCAGATAAGCAGCCCGATAGGCATAATAGTCATAGCCAGCGAGATCATTGCGGCACAAATGAAAGTGTTCTGAATGCCAAGCGAGCTGATATATGGTGTGTAGACGAACATGATGAGGACGGAGAGGCCGTTACGAACGAAGACAGCCCCAACGAGAGCATCCCCCGAGGATCTGGATATGTTTGTCAGTTTCTCAGTTGTGTCACTGGTGATAGTCTCGCTCACCTCTGGGTAACAGTCCGTGAGGTAGGTCAACGAGGTATCTCCCGTCACAGAGAACCCGAACCCAAAGATGGCATATCCCACCGCGAGAACGATCCATGGTAGAGACTAAAGTAACTAAATGAGCATTTGTCTCAATAGATAGAAGGTAGACAGAATTTACCCGCGATAGACTCAAACCAAAGGTCAAGACCCCAGCAGTAGCCACAAGAGACCCCGGTAGTATCATCCGCAGACGCATTTCAGGTTCAAATATACCACCATTCCGCCGAGCCAACCACAAAATTGATTGGTCATTGAGCGGGCCACCAACGACCGTACCTAGGATTGCACCTATCAATGCGGATAGCATGAAGAGTCCAACTGAGGAGGGATTGAAGGAGTATGGTGGGTTCAGCATAAGGTAGGAAGCAGCAGAGCTTATCACGGCAAACCAGACGAGTAGTAACCCGTATGTGATGGCTGCGTAGGCGACAGCAGGAAATGTAAAAGTATCTTGAAAGGAAGGTAGAAGTGATGTCAGATCGACTCATCGGATTTGGTGATGATTGCCAGACGCTTGGAAATGGGTTGGGTCTAGGGACGATTGACTCGGCCTCTGGGCTGGGATGATTGGGCATTTGGTCGAGATGTTCATGTGAGGCTTTGTGCGGCTTAGATTCTTCGCATTGCTCTTTGATTAAGCGGCCAGTCCCATTTAGGATATATTTGGTTTCCTCGAAGAATAAGCAAACCAGGACTAGGTTGACTGCCAGGAAGATGGCCGTCCACGACCACATCCACCTCCAACCCTGGTTAACCACAATAAACCCAGCAGCAACAGAACCTCCGAATGCCCCTAGACTCTGCGCCAACAAAAAGATTCCATTGAATCGAGTGTGCTGATGAACAAAGAATAGATCGACGATTGTAATCATGACAATAGTCTCGCTGGTGGCACCTCCAATACCTGATAATAAGTTGACCGCTATAAGCTCTCCATCAGAATTAAGAGAAGCCCACCAAATCGCGGTGATTAGTTGAATCAACGAACTCAGCATATACAGCGGGCGGCGTCCGTATTTATGCACGAAGGGGATGAACACTAAACAGCCGACTGCTAGGCCGGCACAGTTCGTCACCACGGCATGGTTCAGTGTTTCGTATGAGATGCCCATCTTGATGTAGGACTCTAATGCGACCTTCAGAATGTCTAGCATCACAAAGGTGAAGAGCACGTACAAGTTGGTCAGACCGAAATTTATGCTTTCGCCATGATGACCAATTGAGGGGATCATTGGGATCACTAGATGGGATTGGATGGAGAACGACGGAAGCTGAGTGTCCTGAATTCAATGTCAACTTGATATTCTGCAATATACGATGTTATGTGATGTTGGATGCTCACCCTCACCCAGTATCACCGTCCCCGGGGGCAGTGATAGATGTTTCTCCGTCTCCTGGGTATGATTTGGTTCCATTCTGTAGCTTAGACTGCATCGAAGGATTTCAGAGTGTCCAGCTTCTGTTGGATACCTCATCTTTGTCACTATTTATAAGTAATTATCCCACATTGAATGATATCGAGAAGTATGGAGTAGGACAATTGACCAATCCGCGGTAATTGCGCGGTGGATCACCCCCGCGTTCGAGGAATTCCCCATGTTCGGCCAATGCGTTAAAGAGACCCCAGAACCTACATCGAAATGTTTATCACGAGGCCTGTGGGCTTATCCAGGTCAAAAATCGGTAGATGAGCTCAGGGTCTACCAGGTCATCTTATATGAAAGGAGCATATGCACTACTAGGCTCCACCTGTCTATTTGCGCCATGTCAACCCCAACCTGGGAGTCCAAAGCCAGATTGCGCACCCGCACGGGGTGTTTCGAATGTCAGCACTAAACAGAAACCTTGGAGCGGCTTAACTGACTTGAGCTAGGTCGCAAACGCCGCAAGAAATGCGATGAGCAAAGACCAACCTGTGAAAGATGCGCCAACCTTGGCTCTGCCTGCACTTGGCCCACATCCACCACCCAACTCATGGATGGCCGAAGGCGCGAGAGACGTCAATGGAGCCCCAAGAGCCCAATTTTATCAAATGAGGATAAGGCTTTGTACACACATTTTGCGACAACCGTGATGCCCCGGCTTGTGCGACCGAATTGTCCGTCGGTTTACAGTGATCAATCGCACATACTCCGACTAGCCCAGGAATTCTCTCCGCTGATGGCAATTATGATTGCCATTGCGGCTCTTGATCTCGGTAACGATACACTCGCGATGCAGCACTACCTGCATTCGTTGCGCAGTCTGCAGGGTTGCATAATAGGTGCTCCCGGCACCGGGAACGAAGATGGCTTATTGGCGACGACGATATGTCTCTGTGTGTTTGAAGTAAGCTTTCTCCTTCCTTATTTGTATTAAGCTCAATGCATCAACCAAGGCTAAGACAAATCAAGAATCTCCGGCCGGATGTGCCTCCAAATATCGGTCTGCATGCGAGGGCTGCTGGCGTGCTCCTTTGGCGACGACGCCCGGAAGAGACCACCCAATCACCGTCACAGCCAGCAGTTGTATTCGAACGAACCTGTGTGGAGTCGCTTTTGTATCATAGTACGCTTATGATGCTGTTTAATCCCTCGCTCGATGTGACAGCAGGCAACATACCTCCGTATTTTGCCTTTGCAGCCAATGATGGACAAGCTGTTCCGCAACCTATCTTGGACGAATCTTATCATTTCTTCATCATGATTGCAAATGTGACGCGAATCGCTCGGTTATCCCGCGATCTAAGTCAAGAAGAACGCCAGATGTGGACACGCCTTCAGAGCGACATCCTGCAATATGAGCGCAAGGACGATACTGATAATTCCATGAGAAGGCTCTACTCACGAGCTGTTCGAATTTTGCTGCTCAAAAAAGATCCCGTGCGAAGAACTACGCAATTAACATCCGAAATAAAAACCCTCTTCCACGAAGGACTGATCATCTTGGAGACAGTAGACATCCAAAATTACCTACTCGGTTATTCTCTATGGCCTGTGGCTGTGCTTGGTGCTGTTGCCGTGAGTGCATCTGAACAGCACGCCATAAACAACAAGATTAGTCCATGGGCTCGCATGAGACGCGGGCAGGCAGTGCGATTGCAAGAGCGACTGATGAATATTTGGGCCTCGCCACGGGAACCCGAAGACATGCTACAGATGCAACAATTACAGTTGTTAATGAACCCTCTTGAATCGACATAATATCATTTGCTACATGATGAATTTATCACTTGGCTAAAACTTCCTCCACAATTAGCGCATGCTGGATCAGCACCTCGTCCTTCTGGCGGCGGCCGATAAGCTGCACGTGGCAGGGTGCGTTTTCGACTTCTTTGGGAAGATCTGAGTTCGATCAGCATATGTAATTATTATGTATCCGGGATAGGTCTTACAAGGAGGATAATATTTCACGTCTCGCACGAACTCGGCATCAGCGGTCTCCTGAGAGGAGCCATAGGGAATGACGCATGCGGGATACTGGATTTTGAGTTAGTGTAAATATTCACAAATGACACAAAGGAAACATACATCGACCAAATTGGCAAGGACTGTGTATACCGGAACACCAAAGGTGTCATGCGGAACTGCCGTGGTCTGGTATCCTGGTCCGATAATCACATCGAGGTGGTTGTCGAGAAACACGCGGCGCATTTTCGCCGCAATCTCTGCTCGGGAGGCGTTCAAGTCAAACAATCCTCGCAAAGTCGGTTCTTCTCCCTTTCCGTCGAGGTCGTACGTAAATCGAAGAGACGGGATCGCCGGCTCGCCAGACCTACGGATATGCTGCAACTGTGTTTGATCCGGGTCAATGCGAAAGAAGCGGAATGCCATATCTGCACCAGCTCCCAAAAATTCGATCTGTTTAGATAGATCCACAATGTGGTGACCCGCATTTCCTAGCTTCTCAATGGCCGTTCTGAGAGTGCGCTGCATATTGGGGTGCAGCGGAGTTTGGGGATCTTCCGGCAAGACTCCGATTGTGAGCTGCGTGGGCGCTTTCACGGGCTGCATCCAAGGGAATCCTAGAGCCGTGTCGTCCATATCATCGGACGGTGCATTGAAAACCACTCGGAGAAGCATGTCCGCGTCGCGAACAGAGTGGCACAATGGTCCTGCGCTTGGAGCAATCCCAGTCATCCCTGGTCTACCTGCACTCGTTTGCCCAGCATACGGTACGCGACCGACACTAGGCTTGAAGCCCACGGTACCGCAACACAGTGCTGGGATGCGAATCGATCCAGCAATATCAGTCCCAATTCCTAGGATGGATCCACGCATGGCCACCAGAGCTCCTTCGCCTCCACTGCTGCCACCGGCTGTGAGGGTACTTCTGTGTGGGTTCCGCACACGTCCAAAGACATTGTTGTGCGAGTCCGCGGTCATCATTGTCTGGGGCACGTTGGTCTTCACGTACAGCACTGCCCCTGCTTCCAGAAGGATATCTACCAAGACAGAGTTCTGGGTGACGGGCTCGCGATCCAGGAAAGACGTAAACCCGAGAGAAGTCGATACACCCTTAATATTGAAGGTTTCCTTCATACTAATCGGAATACCGTGAAGTGGTCCGATAGGTCTTCCAGTAGTCTTGATATGTGCGTCTAGCTCTTCCGCTCTAACCAGAGCCTCTGAGAACATGGTCTCCGTCAAGCATGAAGTCAACTGTTGCGCAATGGCAGCACGCTTGCAGAAGGCAGTAGTCACCTCAATGGCGCTGAGCCCTTGGCTGGCAAGCTTGTCTCGTAGCGACGTTGCATCGGGAAGCTCAGTAATCGCGAGCTCTGCTTTACTAAGGATGCCACACTTCGACGAAACATCGAGGATTTCCAGCTCATTGTTATCAACTTGCTGGAGGATCTCTGCTGTGAGTCGCCATTCAGTGGGAATTTTGGCGTCTGCCTCGGCCTGTTTGGCAGCACATTTGTCTTGCCAGGTCAGGTTGGCCATATTGTTCAGCTTTCAAAAAAGACTTGAGGTAAATGGATGGAGAGCGATGTGAAGAGTTGAGAGTGACAAACAGGAAAGCGGGGAAGCAGGAATCTGATATTTAACTCGAGATTAGGGACATTATCGTTTCATTTATACCTCATACTCCAGTGGGGAGGGCGAGGGATAGACCAATCAAATACTTTTGCGCCGTAAAGGTAGTCCTAGAGGATTCATCCGGCACACGGCAGCTGCATCGGGCTCCGGGCTATATTTTCTTTTTATTGAAATCGCATAAGAGGGCACCAATCACCATGTGCAGTCAACCATTAAAATCCAAACACGCGAACCGGCTATGTCTACACCATCCAAGAACGCGGTCCAAACGGCCATCGACCAATACATCGATTGCTTGGCGGAGCCTTTACGAATATTAAATCAGAAGGTAAATTCCCGACTTCTGTACAACTAGCTTCTTTCTCATAGTAACCCATAGTAAATCATAGATTCACGAAACTCCGGAACTGGCGTACGAGGAACACGTTGCCCACGGCGCCATCTGCGACTTCCTCCAATCCCAGGGTATCCAACCAACGCGCCACGCCTACGGCCTCAGCACCGCTTTCGAGGCCAAAGTTGGCAATGGAGATGGTCGCTGTGTGAACTTCAACGCCGAGTATGACGCGCTCCCTGGAATTGGACATGCGTGCGGTCACAACCTCATTGCGATTTCCAGCATTACCGGCTTTTTAGCTCTGGCATTTGCCATTCGCCAATTTGGAATTCCTGGCTATGCCCAGCTCCTGGGAACCCCGGCTGAGGAAGACGGCGGCGGAAAGATAGATCTGATTCGCTCGGGGGCGTACCAGAAAGCGGATGTGTCTTTGATGATGTATGACAGTTCCATTGTTTTGACCTCAAAGAACAAGATATAAGCGGACTAACTAGCGCAGCCATCCATTATCCGAGGAAGAATTCCGCAAAGACGTCCTTGGTATCGCCGGTCGCTCCTCAATTGCCTGCTACGACATCACAGCAGTCTATCGCGGCGTCAGCGCTCATGCATCTGCCAGTCCATGGGAAGGAGTCAATGCCCTTGACGCTCTAGTCACAGCCTACAACAGCATCTCAATGCTACGCCAGCAGATGAAGCCTGATGAACGAGTTCACGGGGCAATTCTCGAGGCGCCCACCGTCACCAACGCAATCCCCGAGCTCACGCGCACCAAATATTCGATCCGCAGTCCGACTATGGATGGGGCACGAGCATTGGGAGACCGCGTACGGAGGTGTCTGGAATCAGGTGCTCTTGCCACCGGGTGTACGGTGGAGCTTGAGGAAAATCAAATATTTGCCGATTTAGTTGTGAACCCGCCATTATGTGAAAGCTTTCAGGAATGTATGCGCGAGCAAGGGGAACACATATTGGCTAATGATGAGATTCTGATGCCGGGGTCCACTGACCAGGGCAACGTGTCGCAGGTTATCCCGGCCCTGCACGGCCTTATTGGGATCCCGGTAAGCGATGGGGCTAAGAACCATACGCGGCAGTTCACTGCGGCAGCTGGCACGAGCGTTGCTCATCAGAGAATGATCACTGCTGGAAAAGCCATGGCGATAACGGGGTGGAAGGTGCTGGTGAATGAGGAGTTCTACGGCAATGTACGCAATGCTTTTACCGAAGTGAGAGGGGGAATCAGGACTCGTTCGTAGGTTGTCCGGGTGTTATCAGTATTTGCCTTCGTCTCTACAATTCCACAGACACACGGCCAATCAGCGGTAATTGCGCTTCGGGAAGAACCGAGCTTTCCCCGGATTTGGTATCATTTCAATCTTTGAGTTTAGAGGTACATAACATATCCAGTATGTAGCTATTTACACATGGAGATAAACATAAAAGATAACATAAATACAATGATATCTCTCCCTTCTAATAATTCTTACCCTAATAATTTACATACCACCATGACATCCATTGACCCTGAGACGAAATCATGTCCCCAAGAGGACCCAAAACGAGAGACTTCTCTAGGGAGCGTCACCAACGTCTCCCCCGAGGAGTCTCGCCGAGTACGAAGAAAAGTAGATTTCATTCTTCTACCAATACTTGGATTCTGCTATTTTCTTCAGTTCCTGGACAAGCAAACACTGAGCTATGCCAGTTTACTGGGAATGATTGAAGACACACACCTAGAAGGCACGCAATTCTCATGGACAGCCTCGGTGTTTTACTTTGGATATATGTTCTGGTCATACCCGACCATGTACTTGTCAGTCCGTTTGCCGATTGGAAAGTATCTAGGTGCCACCGTGTACGTATTGCCTCACTTGCGAGATTCCGTGAAATCAGGCAGAGAAACCCAACTAACAACCACATCCTGTAGACTCGTCTGGGCCGCTGTCCTTATGAGCCATGCAGCCTGCCACAACTTCACAGGCCTGGTAATCACTCGATTCTTCCTCGGTGCCCTCGAGGCATCCATCGCCCCGGGATTCTCCCTGATCACCGGCATGTGGTACACACGACGCCAGCAGCCCCTCCGGTACGGGCTGTGGTTTGCAGGTGGTTCCATAGCTTCCTTATTTGGAGGGCTACTTTCCTACGGCATCGGACATATCGACAGCGGCCTGGCTGCGTGGCAATATTTGTTCCTGATTTTCGGCGCAGTGACTGCTCTATGGGGGGTCATCATGCTTGTCTTTCTCCCGGACACACCGTCCAACGCCTTCTGGTTGACCACCGACGAGAAATCGACCGCAATCCACAACATCATGGCTGATGGCCAGGCTGGCGTGAAGGGCTCCTACAAGATGTCGCAGGTAGTCGAAGCTCTACGAGACCCAGTGACCTGGTTCTTAAGTCTATATAGCTTCTGCGTGAACATCGCCAATGGCGGCCTCACAGCCTTTGGGTCACTTGTCGTGCAAGGATTCGGATACAAAGGTCTCCAAGCCCTCTTGATCCAAATGCCCACGGGCGGCGCCCAGCTATGTTTCGTGATAATAAGCGCCGTGCTGTGCTCGTCAATTCCTAACATCCGTACGCTGACTATGATGGCACTTGCGCTGATCAGTTTGTTGGGAATGGTGCTCATGTACGCTCTGGAGGAAAGCAACCAAGCTGGCCGCATGGCGGGTTTCTGTCTCAGCTTGGCTTTCTCGGCCAACATGCCGCTTGCCATGTCGTTAATCACCAGTAATGTGCGCGGGCTCACCAAGCGGGCAGTGGTTAACGCAAGTGTTTTGGTGATGTATTGCGTGGGAAATATCATTGGTCCCCAGTTCTTCAGTGTGGCTGAGGCACCGAGGTATAGGAAGGGTATTACGACTAGTTTGATTGGGTTCGGGTTGGGATTTTTCTGGCTGGTGTGTCTGCGACTATATTTACAGTGGCAGAATAAGAAGCGAGCGAGTGAAGTGGCATTGGATGTGCCGCAGGAGGTGCTGCTTCTGGAGGATCGGACTGATTGGGAGACTCCGGGGTGTCGATATGTTCTATAGGAAGACTGGAGGATACTCGGTTTTGTAGGGGTTGCATGGTGATTGTCAACTCTGTGCAATATTTTGTTGTATGTCCAGTAAAAGGCAATTTCTACCACTATAGGCATCGAAAATCATATTCGATTACATGATATAACTCAAGCTGTTACTGGAGTGGCCTACCGTGTGTCTCTGAAGCTGTAGGTTGATCATCGAAATAGACGCTATCAAAAGATATAAAGGATTCCAGGCTGCATATGACAGTAATTAACAATCCCTATGGGGACGATAATGCCTACGACACATCCAGAACAAATAGATCTCCTGATTCAATTGCATAGCAACATGCCTGTGGAAAGATGGCCGAGGCTGCGCCACTTCGAACTCCCCCGCTTCCTAGTCTCACAGTCTGATATCATCTGCTTTCTCACCGCACTACCAAAACCCATCCGGTCTGTTGAGCTCAGCATGTGTTCAAGTTCCTCATAGAAGGTGGAAAGTGGTACGGTCTACTGGAGGATATGCGCAAAATGATACATGATAAGACGCTCTGGCGGGACCGGGATGTCGCTGCAATGGCGAAGGTTAGGGTTGGCTTGTCGCTTCTAAAGCGTGTGGTTGGACGGGCCCAGTGGATTGGAAAAGAGGTGCATGATTTCATCTACGGTGAGGAGGAAATCCCTTCTCTTATCGTTTCTATTGTAGTACGGAGTACTCCGTTTGGAGTTGGAATTCTAAAGGATGCATTTGATCCTAATTTTGAAAGCCCGAATGTGAATTGCGACAATCTGATTGAGATGGGCATAAAGGACAAGGAGGATATGGACTAGGTATGATTCCAGTGCTAGGTCCGTCGCAATACTAATCTCTAATGACCAGTCGGCTAAGTTAGCCCACGACCGTCTGGACCTGATCATGATACATGATACGATTGCCATCCAAATCAACGGATTAAGGCAAATTTGTGGCGAATATGGACTAATTAGTTAGTCTTAAGGTTTATCGTGCAGAACAATGAGCACAACCCCCCGCAACAATGTTATCTATCCCTACTATCTTCCCGCCTCCAATGCCTTGGCACTGTAACCTCAGCCTTCGTATTAACAAGTGCCGTCGGGGTTCCGCCTGCAGAACAATAGCCGTTCCTATGAAATTGATTCCTCCTCTGCCAAGAGCAGCAAGCCAGCCTCTTGGCGTACCCCTCGGGGCCCTGCCAATCACGCACCATTGCGCTTTATCATCGCGTGATGGTCACCGACAATACAAAGAATAGGTATAAGAACACCCTCCTGTCCTTGGTTCAGAATGATTATCGATTCGCGCATTACTTAACAATGAAGTGGCTTTTGTTAATAACCCATCTGTCCGTGGCCTTAGCTGAAGCTGGTGGGAGGAAGCCCCTTGTTTCACCGGTATGTATGCATGGTGTATCCTGAGCAGTCGTTATTCGGTAGTCTGACTTATTAGGATGAATTTCCCTCAACGATTCGACTGAAAGACCTCCTGAAGGGCACCCAACAGCTTGAGGATTTCGCTTATGCGTATCCCGAGCGTAATCGTGTCTTTGGCAGTGCAGCACATAACGATACTGTGGACTTCCTCTATCGCGAGTTGAAGAAGACCGGCTATTATAATGTGTGGAAGCAGCCACAGGTGCACACATGGACTACTGCAAATACATCGCTGAAGTTCAATGGCGAGTCCATCAAAGCGTCCGCCATGACATACAGTCCCAGCGCGGATCTTACTGCAGAGCTGGCAGTGGTCTCGAACCTCGGATGCAGTGCATCAGACTACCCGAGTGATGTTGCTGGTGGAATCGCCCTAGTCAAGCGTGGAGAATGTACTTTCGGACAAAAGTCAGTGCTGGCTGCTGCGGCCAAGGCAGCTGCTGTACTTGTTTATAACAACGAGGCAGGCCCTGTCAGTGGAACGCTGGGTGGAGTCACCAGTGACCTTGGACCTTATTCCGCCATTGCGGGAATCTCTGATGTCGATGGCAAGACCCTTCTCAGTGCGGCAGCGAAGGGTGCCGTGACTCTGTCTCTTTCGATTGACAGCAGAATCGAGAATCGTACTACATTCAACGTGATTGCAGAGACAAAGGGCGGTGATCACAATAACGTCGTCTCACTGGGAGGTCACACCGACTCAGTCGATGCCGGCCCCGGCATCAACGATGATGGCTCTGGGATCATCGGCAACCTTGTGGTAGCAAAAGCATTGACTCGATTCTCTGTCAAGAATGCCGTCAGATTCTTCTTCTGGACGGCGGAAGAGTTCGGCCTGTTGGGTAGCGAGTACTACACCTCGCACCTGGACGCTGCTGAACTAGCGAAAATCAGACTTTACCTCAACTTCGATATGATTGCCTCGCCCAACTACGCGCTCATGATCTATGATGGCGACGGAAATGCCTTCAACCAGACTGGACCAGCGGGTTCTGCCCAAATCGAGGCTTTGTTTGAAAACTATTTCAAATCGAAGAAGCTACCGTACATTCCAACCGAGTTCAATGGCCGATCCGACTACGAGGGTTTCATCTCTCGTGGAATTCCCGCCGGCGGACTTTTCACTGGTGCTGAAGGCCTCAAGACCGAAGCAGAGGCAAAACTGTTCGGAGGTGAAGCAAATGTATCTTACGATGTGAATTACCACGCCGCCGGAGACAACTTCAAGAATCTCAATCACGAGGCATTCCTGATTAACGCGAAGGCTACTGCTTTTGCTGTCGCAAAATACGCCAATAGCCTTGCTTCGATCCCCAGACATAAAGCAACACCCGCCAAGCGAGTGGTCAATAAAAGAGCACCCAAGTCGCATGCGCACACATCGGCTGGATGTTTCCATTCTCTGGTCGAAATTTAATAGGTGTGTTCGCCTATTACTTACTGATCACCAATATCGATATAAACACATGTGCAAGCATTGAATTCAATATATTTTTCTTTCTCCGATTGCAATTGTTTCTACGACGAGTATATCTTGCATTCTGTCAATGGGCTTTTGGCTTTTAGTCTACAAGATAGACGTGTAGTAGGTACGAAGTACTTATTTTGAGAATGTATTTGTATAGTATCGAAGGTATATGATTTCATAGAAAGTTCTAGATGAACTTCAGGTAATTAGTAAGTGAAACATAAATCTCGGATGGAAATAATAGTGTGGTATCTTATTGATCTAGTGTAAAAATGATAACCACTTCATGTTGAAGAAGTAGTATTATGTATGAAGATAGAGCAAATAGACTACCGATTTCGCAACGAGAAACGAGAAACGAGAAACCCCACAAACAATTAGACGGTGTGCCAAATCTCAAACTCGGTGTCGTCAAAGGGAAGATCGCGACACTGCTGGAGTCCTCCAACAAAATTTCTCCATCATCGCCTTTGAAAATGTGCCGAATGGCGTTGCGTCCATCTTTGGTTTGAGAACTATTCGCTTCGTGACTTCATCCGGAGATCATATGTTGGCAAAAATAAAGGTCGGTCTACCACGAATGGTGCCAATAACAAGCTTAGGTAGTTGATATTTGCAGTGTTCAGATTGGGGCTTTCTTTCCCGTGGGCTTCGCCCGTTTATTTGACCCTTCAGCCTCTCTGGTTAAGGCTTTCCCTTTTCTGTATCGAACTGGTCACTCGGAGACGGGTGTCTTCTCTTGTGGCCAGTCTCTTCGATGGGGAGGAGGGAGGGCTCGGATGTAATCACACTAGGACGACCAGCGGCTGTATCCATTGTTAGCCAAAGAATATATAGAGACCATAGACCTCTTACTTTGATTGTAATTAAAGAAATCAGACAGAGAAGACGACTTCGTGGTACACTTTGATTTGGGACGAAAGTCAAGGCAATATTCGAAAGAGTCAACCTTTAAACTCTTTGCACAATGTTACTGCGATGAATGAACCCCCGTGCACAGCACAAGAGGAAGGGTAATGACCAGCATTGTGAGGGGGAGCTTGGTTGAGTGAAGTTGAGGAACCAAGTTTGCTCAAATCGGAAGGAACATCGACCCTTGAGGTATTACACTGGAAAGGCAGGGCAAGAGAAAGATGGATGATGTCTTCATATTACATAACTCATGTCTCGTCTCCCACGGCAGCTAGATATACCTTCGACACTATATAAATCTAGAAAATACGTAACTGTCCAATAGCATCGACTATAAGAACCTAGTCGCGCAGACCTCCGATCAGATCCAGAATCGCCCGTGCCACCTCGTCCGGACTTTCCTGGGGTGTCCAATGCCCAACCCCATCCACAAGCCGAAAGATGCGCAGGTCTGCACACGAAACCCCGGTCTTCATCTTCTCAATAGCACCAGGCTCCTGATAGTTACCCCAGTCCAGCTTGCCCGAGACAAAAGCGCAAGGCGGCTCGAGCTTCTTCCCAGCAAAGACGTCAAAGTCCTTCGTATACCGGCCCCCAGCAGCAGTGCGAACACGATACCAATTCAATCCACCATGGAAGCCCGTACGACCATACTCACCCACATAAACAGCGAGCTCCTCATCCGGCAGCCACGAGTGCGAGGCCAGACTGTCGGACGGCTCATGTGCCATATCGCGCGCCACCGTAGCAGGCATCGTCTCATTCAACGGCATGATATAATACCCAGGTAACTTGACTAGGTCGGCCGCAGACCACTTCCCTAGCGGATGCGGCCGATTCCCAGGCCACGAACCACTCTTCAAATGAAAGTATCCCCGCAAGAAGCGATGCATCTCGTCAGGCCCCAGATCCGACATTTCAGGCCCAGCCTGCTTAGTCGAGTAATACCACTTATAGTGCTTACGCCCGAGCTCCGCAAGCGCCTCATGGATCCCCGCAGCAGCAGCCGAACCCTCAGCACCGCCCGCCCCACCTGCCGCCGTATCAGACCCGGCCGCCGCGGAATCTGCATTCGCCGTATTAAACGGTAAATCAGGGGCCCCATTAAACGGATGGCTCATGAGCGCAACGCTCTGAAAGAAATCTGGCCGCATTAGGGCACACATGGCTGCCGATACAGCGCCGCAGTCGTGGCCGGCGACGCACCGCACGGAGCGGTGGCCTAGGGCGTGTACGAGGAGCACAATATCCCGCACCAGGCTGGACAGCGAGAAGGTTGCCAGGTCCACATCCTCATAGCTGCGCGTGTCCCAGCCCGTGGTGCGGCCGAAGCCGCGCTGGTCTGGGGCTACGACGTGGAAGCCTGCTGCTGCTAGTTTGGGAATCACGCGGCGCCATGAGTAGGCGATCTCTGGGAAGCCGTGGAGGAGGATTATCAGTGGTTTATTGTTTTCTGGGGTGTAGCCGGCTTCTAGGATGTGGATGTTTAGGTCGTTGGTTTGGATGTTGCGACTTGTTATGCCTTCGGGAAGCGGGATGGGTAGGGCCATTGTTGGGATTGGAATCTAGATGAAATATATGGGATATATGTACAACATATGGGGAAAGGTAAGGGAATGGAAATGCAGTCTACTTAACAACATAATATACCGAGGTTAATACCAGTAGGTACATACCCCCCACGGACATAATATATAAGCAATGCATAAAAAAGTCCCTGGTCCAAGGCGGTAAAGTTCTTGTGCCTGACCCAGAGTCATGACGCAAAGTTCCTCTCGATCTCGGATCTGTCTGGATCTCTGCCTGGATTAGCTTTGGTCTTTTTTTTTTTCCTTTCTCCCTTTTGTTAAGCTCTCCTTACCTGGCGTTGCCTTCATATCTCCTTGTTTCTAACTGGCTCTAACTTGGTCGAACCCTCCCGAGTTGTTCCCCCTCAACTTCTTTCTCAGTTTACCAGTTCCCACTTCTTCCTATAGCTACCCATCGTATCATCATTTGGAGATCCACATTCCCTTCATCCACTTCAATTTCGGATCCCGGCGCTGCACCAAGCAGTGTCCGGCTATCTGATCTTTGACCCGTTCTAGTTCCTAAAAGGCCCCAAGACTCTGAACAATGGTCTTCGGTCGTCGCAAGAGAAGTGCCTCTGCCCATCACCAGGTGTGTTCCACGCGTCGAATACCAAGGATAGCAGATTTCCCTATCTGGAAATGGGTCCTGTTGCAGCACTTGATGCAATCCAACGGGTACCTGCAACCTATGCATGAAAATGAAACTGACAGCTCCCCTTCCTTCCCACTAGCCACTCTCCACACCCGCCGCGCAATCCGCCCAGTCCGCCGCCAGCCATGCTTTCCTAAAATCCCAACCCTCCACAGCCAGCTTGTCCTCCGCCGCGGCGGCAGCAGCGCTCCGAAACTGCACACCCACGCCGACCCCCATTGAAAATGTCCAGACAAAACGCATGGTCCAGCGGCGCAGCTCGACCCAGTCGCAGGTTAATCCCGTTAGCGGTCGCCGCTCGGCCAGCGTGAGTGGGACGCTGCGCCGCTCCAGTAGCAATAGTTCGATGAGCGCACGAACCTTTCGCGACCAGTCCCCCAATCGCCCAGCTACCAGCTCCGGCCCCGTCGGACCCGGACCTGCACCCATCGATGTGCCTCCACTACCTAGTCTCCCGACGAAGTTTGCGCCGCGGAAACTGCCGAACCGACGTGCGATGAGTATGGAGCCCTCGATGCGTTCGCCGCCATCGTCTCCGCTACGCTCTGGGATGAGGGGCGTGGGTCGGGAACATGGGCGAGGGTCTCCGATTCAGTTAACTACACATCAACGTATGACTAGTCTTGGGACCGTTCCAGAATTGGAACGATCGACGAGTCGGAATTCGGTGAATTTCTCGTACCCCATGGGCTCGCGACCTACCTCGCCGATTGCGACGTCTGAGAATAATCCGATGAGCCTCCACGATGCTATTCAAGAATCGATTGCTGAGGTATCTGACAAATTTCCAAAAGGCAAGCCAAGGGCACAACCATCTGGCAGTCTAGAGGAAAACCCCGTTGCAAACAACTCTGGTCCTTTGGCTGGCAGCGCAGGTGCTGCAGCCCAAGCGGTTAATGTACCAAAGGATAGCCGAAGTGCGAATGGTCGAACTGGGAAGGTGCAAAATTCGCTTATAAAGCACGATCCTCTAGACCAATATACTGGTAACGCAGTGCCTGTTGTGGCCAGCGTGGGAAGTGAACACCCATCATCCCGAGCTCTTCCTGAGCGATGGCCATCCACCGTTCGAGAAGAAGAGCCCGAAGATGACGGTACGAATGTCGAAGATATCGCCATACGGCAAGGAAGAGACCGGACGACGAGTGCATCGCCAACTGCTGATCACGTAGAGGCAGCGCCAGTGCCCTCATCGCCCTCGACAGAGCTGCAAATAGGGCAGAAGCCACACCGTCAGTCCAGCAGCCCAGGTCGAACTGCTCGTTTTTCCAGATTGCTCTCCGTAGCCGGAGCCGGTGATCAAGTTCACCAGCCTCTGCCCAGATCAGTATCTCCTGTCAAATCGGCCTTGAAGCACCCAAGGGGAAGCTCTTTATCGCCTGATGGGAGGGTTGGGGCAACCGGTCGAGTCCTACCACCGAGCGAGCTATCAGATGGTACCTCAGTGGCTTCAGACGAAGGATCCCGGGTTGACACCAGGAAGAAGCCTGTCAAGGTCAGTTTCGATGATGAGGCTGAGGCTGTAATGGCAGCAGCCAGTCCGCCTACGTCGCCGGAAGAATATATGCCTGATTCCCCACCCGGCGGTAAGGCCAAGTCTCGTATGAATTGGCTTGGTGTTGGCAAGAAGAAGTCGCCCGCGGAGTTTGCGAGCGACGATGACTGGAATGTAGTCATCAAACCCCGCCAAGTTCTTCCATCTTTCGGTAGTATTCGGGGGAGCCGAGGCGGTGCCCTTAAGAGGTCGCCAATCCCAGATTTCAGTGATAATGAGTCCAGCTCTTCGTCTGCATCTGATGTGGCGCCAAGGCCGGATATCTCGCTTTCAAATGAATACTCCCAACCACGCGGTTTGAGCGCTCTGGAGCAGTTGTCTGTCAACGGCACTTTGCATGCTTCGCATTCGGATACCAGCCCAGGGGCCAAACGAGAGGCCAGAGTCGCCGATGGCATCACTGAGAAACAGCCGTATTCCAGCGTGGGCTCGGAATTATCTGTGCCTGCTATTGCTGTCGAGCCTGCTACTCCCCCAGCAGACGAAGCCAAGCAAAGTTTCGACATGAAGAGATCTAGCATAGACCAGTATAGGATTCCGGGCGGGTTCCCGCCCTCCGGCTCAAACCGGAGTCTCGATTCGACTGCGAAGAAGACTAGCACCCAGGCCGTGGCGAGCGCCGTTCCAAAGCTGGACGACGTCGATACCGAGGAGGAGTCTGGTGATAGCGTCTACAGCGATGCAGCGGAAGACTTGGACGGCGATGGGTTTGGGTCCATCAATGCCATTGTCGACAGCCGGTCAGCCCCTAGGTCAACACCGACTGAGGAGAATGCGAGCGAATCTCGGGACGCAACACCGAGGCCTATCGGTCGAGCCGCCATCGTGGATAGTCAATCACAAGATGTGACAGATCAACCACTTGAGGAGGAGCGCTCCGTGACACCGACTCAAGGCTCGGTCAACCGTCTGGAAGAGGGATCCCCCGCCTCATCGGTTGGCAATGGGTTTGGTTCTGCATACCCGCCAGTGCCAATCCAGTTGCAATCTCACAACGCGACTGCTCAAAATGGCAACGTCCAAGCACAGCCCACCACGCGGACCCGGCCCATGTCGGTGGATGTGAATGGCAAGTCTCATATGCAGGATCCTCGGTGGTCGAGCAACGATGCTTCTCATCGAGGTAGCAAGGCCAAACCGCGTCCACTATCTCTTGGTCCGACTTTCCACAATTTGCAAACAGGTATCCCTGGCACTCTCCGCCGGAAAACGTCGAATGGAAGTGATTCCTCAAGCAGCTTCAAACGGTCTTCTCCGCGTGGAGATGCCCACTCCATGCGACGGACAATGAGAGCCGGTGCTGCTGGTGCTAACGTTCGAGTCCAATCTCCAACAGAACGCAACGAGTCTCCCCTTGAACATCGTCCTCTTTCATCTGGCTCCTCGAATGGCACAATGCGCAAGACTCTCCGAGGACCTACTGGAAGTGAGCGATATTCGTTCTTCTCGACGAACAAGAAGGCACCGCCGAGAGCGAAGTTCACCAAGGCGCCCCCTAAGTCGGCGCGCACGACCCGGTTCGCAAATTCAGATGGCGAAGATGAAGCTCGACCCCAGGTCTTCACCAGTCGATTCGCAGATTCCAGCGATGAGGAGGCACCTGGAAACAGTAATTTACGCCCTGTCCGCGGTATCCCCCGTCGCCAAGGTGCCGACGACGGTGACTCGACAGAGTTGGAAGATAGTTCAGAAGAAAGTGCCCGGCAGCAAGCACAGCCAGTGCTTGCATCCCAGCCAATGACCTCTTCACCCGGGGCCCGCGGAAAGAACGCACCAACTATGTCTGGAATGGCAGCTGTAGCCAAACAACGTGGCATGTCGCAGAGAGACTTGGAGGAGTTCATCATGACGCCTCCCCGTGGTCGGAAGCCAGGACTTCTCACCCGACTTGGCATCAAGAAACCCAAGAACTCGGATCATAGAGTTCGCGAAGCTGATGTCGAAATTCCCATGCGGAGAGACTCACCCCTAGAGCTGGAGGGCATGGTGAATGGGAACCACGGCATCACAACAACCACCGTTTCTGCCGGGAATCCCGAGCCGACTCGTTCGTCGAAGCTGGTGAAGAGAAACTCTAAACGTCAGTCGACAGGACCAGACTCTTGGCCCCTGCACCCCAGTCCCAAAGAAGAGCCTCTCGAGCCAGTCGCGGAACAGCCATACAGCGCCCCATCGTCTTCTCTCCAAACGCAGAACCCCGCGCCGCCAATAAATGGTGTAGGCGCAGCAGAAAACGGAAGCACCGTTGTCAATGGGAATGGCGCTCACAGTGCATCTCCGATTGCGAAGGAGCCCGAGGCACCCCGCGACGGACCAGATCCGAACAATGACAGCACCTCTGAAGTCACGAACCCCGATGACCATGGGCTTTCGGCGCGCGACGTCGTGATCGCTGGTTCGGGACGAAAGAAACGATTTCCTCTTCTTCGGAAGGCATTCGGTCTGCGCGCTTGATCATATGTCGTGGATCTTAATTGTCCTCTTATAATTCCTTTGAGTCAGATGATTCAACCGATACCCATGTTTCACGCTCCAGTTCAAATTCTTTTAATTCCCTCTTTCGTTTCCTTTCTCTTTCTCTCTTCGCCCTTTTCTGTTAAGGAAGAGCTGTAGCCTACAATGGCTACTATTGTCTTTCCTTCAAAAATCGATCCATCTTCGACGATATCTAATCTCTAATGACTGATATACGCCCTTTGGTTTGCTTCTTCTGGCTCACCCTTTTCTTTCTTTCTCCTTTTATCTTGGCTGTGGCCTGTATTCCACTTTTCTCGCTCTCTCGCTCTCTTTGGGAAAACCTTTGACCTGAAAGTGGTTATTATACTCTCCCTCTTACTTTTCTTCTTCTTTCCTTCTACTTCTTTTTATCTTCCAGTGTGGCCCATTGGAATTGTTCGCTTCCATGATACCCTCGTTATTTCTTCCCACGCTGTATTATTGTCGTTCTTTTATATCTCAGCCGGGTCCCTTATTAGGCCGGGTGAGCTCTAAACCGAGATGGTGTCTTTTTGGCCGTTTTCAGACTTGTTTTTTTCATAGATTTGGTCAACAAAGAACACGATATGATCTAATACTTTCTGTTATATTTTACAAGTCAGGTCAGTAAATGTTGCGCTTGGAATGTCAAGCCTGTTGTGCTAGTCTTGCTAGAGATTGCATTATTTCCTACTTATGGCATATTATGGGCACGTAATTCGGATGCTAGCTCTATATAATCGACTACATATCCACCGCGTCTACACATACCAATTCTGAATCCCCCGGGATAATCAACAGTGATTTTTACATTTAAAGCTCTAGACGATGAAAATAAATTCCCATGGCAGAATATCACTGGCAACCATTCATAAGGATATTCCCACTTTCTCTGTATCAAAAAAAGTCTTCATTATCACGAGACGCCGAACATTCTAACTATACGTTAGAGTAGAAGCAAAAACTAATACCTATTAAGAGTTGGTATAAGATATAGTAAGGTGCTATTCTTCCATTTTTTTCTTGGAGTGCTTTTCCTAATATGGTAGGCGGTGGCAGCGTCTGGAAGCGGTAAGCGACACAAGGAGTGCACGAAGCGCCCTGATTGGCTAGTTGACGAAATACCGAACGGTGATTGGACGGAGCGTAAGGATGTTCGCAATAAAGCATGGTTTTTAAATTTAGTATGCACCTAAGCGTAATCCGACAATATGACTAAGGAGTGTGGATCCACATGGATGTAAGGCCGCTTGGCCTAATGGTTAAGGCACCCGACTCCTAGTTTATAGTGTCATCGGGAGATTGTGAGTTCGAATCTCATAGTGGTCGTTTTTTTGCTCTCTTAAGAAATACTACTAGAGAGAGAGAGAGATTGGTTGGACTATCCTTTTTTGAGGTAAATGAATGACATACTGTCGAGGGTGGATGGAGGAGAAGAAATGGATAATGATAGAACACCTAATGTACTCAAAATTAAGAGGGACCGTTAGTATATATACGGTCGGGCCTAATCAGAAGGTCCAGGCCGTCAACAAAATATGTCTAATTGATCTTTTGGTATGGGTGGTAGTCAAAATTGGACCCACCTTTAATCCCGCATAAAAAAAAGCAGCGAAAATCAATTGTAAATATCTCGCTAAATATAGGTGTGTGTAAGCTTCGAAGCAAATGGGGGTTAAATGGGGGTTAAATCAGCTATAAAAATACAACTTGTCAAAGTTTCAGGAAAATTGGGGCTGATACAGTCTCTCCAGTCACCGTGGGTTTATATTTTGTCCCATAGTTAAGACATAACCCCAAGCTCCAGTGACCATGACTGGAGCATCATGATGCCAAGAGCAGCCAACCACGAAGCTTATCCGGGGCTAGACATTTGGAGCGCTAGGTTAGTAAGCAATCAAAGCTAAGAAAGTTAACAAGGCTGGATCATATCACATAGAAAGACTCAAAAGCGACACGTTTGCATTTAACGCTATTCTGAACACGCAATACCTTATCCCCAGCCCATGAGGTAGCGCCCAGGAACTGCTAAGAAGAGGATAGTCTGCGTTTTCTGATAGGAAAAATCACAACAATTAAGATGTACACCAGTCCGATGATTCCAGCGACCACGCTATATGCGATAACTGCCCCAACAGGAGCGATCGAAAGGCCGATACCTGTTAGGCGAAAACCTAGACCAGCGTTAATAACGCCAAGAATTATGAGACAGCGACCAAACCACCGATGCAGGTAAGCAAATACACTCTTGCCTCCGGTTTTGCGAAAATACCTGTGTTGAAGAAAGCCCATTGCGGGCTGAAAAAGGATAAGGCATGGGACGGTCACCATCCCGATAATTGGATGATACATGCTTATGAAACCAAGGCTTCTTGCCATTGAGATCCCAATTGCAAACCCGGCAATGGCCAAAGCAAGAGTAAAAAGCTGGAACGAAGCATGGACATAGACAATCTTCGAATATGGAATAAGATGAAGCATCAGAGCAAATGAAGGGAAGAATATAACAAAGACCAGTATCATAATAATAGCATGGGCCTTCCTGCGTGTTTCAACCGACCCAGTGCTAAGAGTCGAAATCGGATGCGATGAACTCGAGGAGGAGTTCATATTGCTCGAGGTTGCAAACGGGTTATCAGACGCGCCACCGGTTGCTTGTTGAAGGTCTATAGCTGCAATCCCCTCAACGTCATGTATGTTGATAGATGCCTCTAAGCTGTTCGTGTTGAGTGGGCTCCCAAATTTCGCTGCCCAAAGCCATGTACTCGACGAGCTGCTCGGATCTTCACTTCCACCGGGCCAGGTGATACAGCTATCGCATCGGATGTTTGCGGTCATAACTCCATTACTGATCCCACTGCCATCTAAGACTGATAATTGAGCCCCGGAGTTAAACAGTGGCATAACATGCTCCACGCCCAGTCGTGGGGAGACGGTAACATTATTGCCGTCGCTAGATGCATAGACAATGAATATATTTGCTCCTTGCATTCGAGAGCCCTGGCCCCAAGCAAACCACTGAAGCTCGTTTGTGGACTTCAGTTGGAAAAAGATCGGCCCGGAGCCTGAGGACGCGGTGGTTTGGGGTATATTGACAGTATAGGTGATTCCATTTTGCCCGGGAGGCACGAATGATTGTAACTGGGCGAGGGTAAAAATGGGTGTAAAAAGACAGAAATAAGCGTATTTCTTCGCCATTGCGGAGCAAGGGTCGTGTGTGTACTGCTGCCCGTCAAGAGAAAGGCCTGAAATATACTCGCTTGTTGTGATATCTCGGCAAATATGTATTACACGATATCTACGCTCCACCATATACCCGGACGGGGAGCATTAATCCATTGGCTTAGCTAATACCGCAAGCGTTCTGTCCACGGGTGATTTAGAGCGGCCAGGCTTGCCGAAACAATTGACTCTGGGCGTCATGACTTGCTAAGCAGTACCCAAAGATGGCAGTTCGAGGAGCAGGCAATCAAGTTTCCAAGAAATACTTCTATATGCGCTATAGCAATCATTGAACACTGCATCACAAGACTGCGTGGCTCACCAATCGTCAAGACCATCTTCGTACCAAAAAAATCTGATCAGAGCTTGTTCCCCACCTGGGCAGTTCCCCAGAAAATAATTCCGTCTTAGTCAGCTGCCCCGCACCCAGGATGGCAAACCATAATTGGTTTAACTCTGTTCCAAATATTATCCTCGGCCGGTCTAGAAACTAATTTGCTGGAAATAGTAAAAGCCACATACCGTCATTCTGCGCTTAATTCAATACGATGGCGAACCGCATTTTCTATTTTGAGTAATAAACTGCCCAGACCCTCGGGTTGAAGGCAATCAGCTGATGAATGCCGTGGCTATGGCAAACCTTCCCAAACATTCATCGAAAAACTTTGGGGATTTTATGGTACTTCACGTATACCGTAGCTTAAACATAAAGGAAACCTATCTCCTAATTCCTTGGTATTAAGAGCTGGGCTGTCCACGCAGACCTTTACCTTAATTTTTTTCTCATCTAAATCAGTGGCAGCAATGATGAAAGCGTCTTTGTGCACTCTCGCCCTTTTGTGCCTCCCTCTCGTTGGTGCCCAGTATGGAGGAGGAGGAGGAAGTTCTAGTTCTAACAAGGATACCTCGACCACTGCGAGCTCAACAGCGAGTGGTCCAGCTTCGAGTACCACCCAATCGGTCGATGTTGGTGAAAGTGGCTTTGTCTTTAAACCCGACACTATCAACGTCCCTGCGGGAGGCGTTGTTGAGTTCCATTTCTATCCAGGCGATCACTCAGTTGTCCAGGCCGCTTTTAATAACCCGTGCCATCCTCTGAGCGATACTAGCTTCTTCAGTGGATTTATGGCAAATGCTAATAACGGAAAGGTAATTTCATGAGCATCCGTTTCAGGTTGTATAACTTTCTGACGTTTTAGCCTGTCTGGTCGTTGACTGTTAATGATACAAATCCGATCTGGATCTACTGCGGCCAAATTGGACATTGTCAAGCTGGCATGGTTGGCGTGATCAATCCGTCGTAAGTATATCAGTATCCACAAAGTATTAGAAGCACTAGCTAATTCTCTCAACATTAGTGGCCCAGATACGCTTGATGCATTCAAGTCGGCAGCTTCTAATGCAAATGGTGATAGTGTGCCAGCCACACCCCAAGGTGGCATTCTCGGTACGCCAAGTGCTGCTCAGACAACCACGACCTCCAGCAGTGCGACCTCCAGCAGTACGGCCGCCAGCAGTACGGCCGCCACAAGCAGTCCAGCCACTACCAGCAGTACGACTGCCAGCAGCACGTCTCCTACAAGCGGGACACAGACCAGCACAGCTGGCTCCAGCCCCAGCGCCACGAATACAGCAGAAAATTTGCACGTTTCAACTGATCTCAGTGTCTTGGCCATCCTTACCTTAACAGTGGCTATGTTTTTCATGTAGGCTCGGTTTCGTCATTGATGATGCGCTGGGATTGTTGAAAGCCAGCTACGGAGGCATCCGATGAACATAAAAAAGGGGAAAATGCACGTTCCTGATGAGGTACCTGGTTATTAATTGGGGTCTGCAATAATTTACTTGTGACGCAGACACTAGCTCCTCTCCTTTGACCAGTCTTGGTCATTGCCTGAAAAATTATTTACATGTTGCCAGTACTACGTGATTTGAACCTAGTCCTACTTGAGTAGCTTCGTTTACTTTATAAACTTGCCTGCTTGATATTCCACTACTGAGGTATGCAAATAGAGCTTCAAGATCAAATGCTCGTTTATTTGACTAAACCGCTAACCAGAAATATGTCGTAATTTGATACTTCCGCATCCAGGAATCTGGCTCAGGATGCCTCCCATCCCTGGCCATTACACTCAAGCGCTCTTGATGTTGATACGAGCGTTTATGAAGCTTTATATATGCAATTCAAATCCGGAAATCCGGTGCGGATGGCTATTTGCTAATTTGGAGGAACACATCACGGCGAAGGACCTGGCCGGTTGTTTGTTGACTAGGTTTTGACTGGCCTTTTCTGGTGACCCTGGGAAGGACAGCACGGCTATAAAATTTGGTCTGAACTTAGCTACAGTAATTTTCGAATTCAGTTTAACCTCAACACTTCTTTAGACTTGATTCCCGGATAATAAATCCTATCGGTGCAATTTCTGATTGGATAATATTTTTACGTTTATCGATCTAGACTGTTTTCTACAATAGTCCATATATTTTCCAATACGTCTCCAGTACCATATGTGATGTATTTTACACGAAATTACCATACACACGCTACATACTCTCCCTTCTCTTCCTTTCGCGACAATCAGCAACTTCTTGCGAGGAGGCTTCCCGCCAACCATCGCCCTCAAAGACTGTCCTCATCCGCGGTATGATAGAGAGCGAATCTTTTACCACATGTGAAATGGCTGAATGGACTGAATGTAGTATGTCCTATTGAAGAGCTTCAAGGGCAAACTTCGTCTATTGCATGTCCAATTGGCTTTCGTTGATGATTGTCTGCTTACAGTCGGCAGGCGTTTGCCAACCAGGTGTTTCTGTCGCGTCCCTCTCGCTGTTCCCTCTCTTACGACTGCTTCGCTGTTGGTTGTTTCTTTCTGTCTACTCTCCTATCGCCTTTTCTCTCTCGTGTCTCGACCTGCCCGTGCCGACTAGGCTGCCTTGAGCTTCTCCACTTTACTAATTAACTTTCAATAGGTATGCTCTAGTGATCAACGCTATGTTATGTCCTTTGCTATCCCTACCATAGCCGACAGCATTTATTGGAAAACATGCTCCACCCGGATCGATTACTATATTGATCACCATGTCGATCTTTATGTCGATCACTCACTAAGTAGTAAAAAGCGCCCTAAGTCAAGTGCTTTATAGAGTACATATTTTCGTAAACCCATACGGCCCGACTGTTCGTTATACGTACGGCGCACCCTAACGTAAAACTTTAGTAAACATTTAAGCAAGATCTATAGATATGGTATTGGTCTTAGAATATCTATAAGCCAAGTTACAAGGAGTGATCGGCATTTCGTTATAAGAAGCTATTTTCCGTTTTAGCTACGCCACCAAGCAATAATCGTCTATAGAGTTCCGAAAATATGTGGACTCTGTGGCTGGCCTCTAGGTATAAAGAGGAAGCACTTCCTCCTAGTTCTTTGAAAAAGCTAATTATTTCTGTTCTCTTGTCAATTACTTACGTGAGTCTTGAAAATTGGACAAAATATGAAGTTTTTTACCATCCTCTTTACGGTCATGTTTACGACCATGGTGGTTGCGGTGCCTACCAAAGAGCCTAATACTCAGCTGACCAAGAGGCAAGAGGACACCGAGAAAGTAAGTGGTTGATAAGCCCTAAAAGATGGGGTTTAAGGATAGAAGCTAATCCAGATTGGATATGGATAGGCCAACAAAGAGTTTTGTTACGAATGCAATTGTATTGTGGTAAATGATTATTTAACTCTAGAAAAAAAAATTCAAGAACATGGGGCTGATCAAGATGGGATACCAACAGCAATCTCTTAACAAGAAGTGCCGAGCATGCAAAAAATGCAAATTTGTCTATTCTCGACCCTTTTTCGGGCTCTTCGATCCTTAATAGAGCGAGCAGCTTTATTACCTGTGAAATGGGGTGTTGTGCGGGACCCTCAACGAGATGGAGGAAGGCAGCTGCACATGGGAAAGAATGAGGGGAAGTGGCAACCTGGTACTAGTGGGGAGGCGGGAAGGGACGAAGGCAGACGATCTTGCCAGATTGCCGATCTAGTTCTATCAAACTGAATTCGAAAACTACTGTATCTAGCAGCTATATCTTTTCACCAGAGAGGCGGTAAAGGCCTCGGCAGAAGACGATATAGAGCGAACAGCTGCTCGGCCAGGAGCGAAAGGAGTGATGGGTATCTTGAGGAGTTCCTGTATATCCTCTCTCAAGGCCATCTCGCGTTGACTATTCTCTCGGAGTGCAAGTTCCGTCCGTAATAGCCCCATCATACCGGCACAGTTTGAATCGTGATATCGTCTCATCCAGAGAGATAATCAGTGTTTTTGAAGTGAGGCGATATCCCCGGACATTTCTAGGTCAAGCTTCTCTTGGTACTTTTTCCCCGCACAAACTCATCTTTAATTCTTTGAGATGTTGAGGTCAAAACGAAAGATGGGCTTGGATGGAGTGAATCAACAAACTTGGTTTTCGTCAAGGTGAAAGTGGTTCAAATGGTTGTCTTCCAAGGTTCGATGGGCATGTATGAGTCAATGGCGGTGAAGTGAGCTCATCTCCTCATCCTAACAAGGAACCGCTCAAACTCAATTGATACCGACTTGAAATTGAGATATCGTTATCTGACGGAGCAACAGGACACATCGATCCATCGGTCAAATGGCGTTGGAAGCTGTATAGTACAAGAGCATGAGAGCAAAACAACAAATGCATGCCGAGGGTGAAATCTACTTCACAAGATCGTCAACAAATTGGACAGGTATATTCGTTCAGTAAAACTATAGAGAAAAAAGCCCAAACACCAGTCAACGCCAGAAAGACCCAAAACGTCAATTATAGTCCATTTCAGAAAGACATAGACATGCAGTATCATCAACACTGATTTTGAAGCGTCACAGATTAATGAAAACCAGGGGTATGGCGCAAAAGAAAGAACAAAGCAAGGAGCGCGCGCAAATGCAATCAAGAGAGCTCGACATATCTACATGTACACGCCGAGGGCGACAGCCAGCAACAGCGGCACGACAGCCGCAGCCGACAGTTTCGGAGGCTGTAGCATCGCCGCACCCGAACCAATGGAACTGGTGGTGTACATGTACTGGAAGCCGATATCCGACGAATTGAAGCAATTGTCGCGAGTGACCGTCTCCACAGACGCATCGCCATCTTCTGCGAACTCAATGTCCACGCACTAGAGACAAGTCAGTATATTGATTGCCGGATCGGAAATAAGGGGGCTGGAACATACATTGAATAGCGCAGCGCCGTGCTTGGCGGTCTCGACCAGCTGGATCGTGGCGTAGTCACCCGGACTGACGGAGATATTGGCCGGCAGAGGCACCTGGGGCAGACACACGGTACCGGGGTAAGGGTTGTTGGTCGGGCCGACGATCAGGAAGGGCGGGACGACGGGGTGGCTCATATTGGGGGGGATCTCGCCGAAGCCAATATTGATGTAGATCAGGGCAGTGGCGTGGCCTGGGAACCAGCCCGGCTGGAAGGCGACAGCACCACCGCTGACGGGCCACTTGGTTCGGTTGGTCGACCTGCCCATACCACCACCTTGAAAAATCCGAGTCAGTAATTGATGTATACATAGGGACGAGCAGCTAGGTTTTGCTTACAAGGATAAATCCACTCCATGCCGTATGGGTAGATGTACGAGCCGTTCTTCGCATCATAGGCAACACCAAGACCATTAGCTTGCTCAACGGTGCCATTGGTGTGGAGGTTGTTTCCTCGATAGCCAGGGTAAGTGATGACAGTGTGAGCGTGCGCCAGACCCAAGCACAGCAGGAGTAGGACATAAGCCCATCGCGATGTGGATTGTGTGAAGCTCATGGTGAGATACGACAGCGACGGCGACAAGTTGCAAGAGTTTACAGGATCTGAGCGAGACTCAGACACAATTTCCCCGATCGCAGGATAAATGAAGCAGATAGAAGAGGGAGGGCAATGGTAAAGGCAAAATGGACACCAAAATCATAGAAACTCCAAGACCAAGACCAAGCCATGATTTTCGAGGGCTAAATGGTCTTTTTGAGGGGTACCAGCCTGCACTAGGGCGGACGAGTTAAAACCCTGGAAGGCAGATGTGACCGAGACTGCATGGCGAGGCATCTGTGACTGGCTCCGGGTGGTGATGAAGAGCAGGGGTAGCCTAGAATCATCACAGCGCGCTGCAAGTGCCATCACCTAAAGGGTGATACTGCATGATGATTTGCTGATCGACCAGCGGTGGAAGCGCCGAGGAGGGGACGCTAACGCTCGGGGAAACAACTTGAGCGCTTACAGGGTATGCGAGTGTGCTCAGAGGATAAGTTCTGAATTGTTGGACTTTTTTCCTGCAAACCATTTCACTATTTCACCTGAATATGTAGCTCTATCTCACCCTAAACTTGTGCTCCTCCAGCGAGTCTACTTAGGTACACTTACTAAGCCTATTGGAGTCCGCCAAGCATTTCCCCCGCATCTCCAAAAAAAAAAAGCTTCAATAAATCCAATACATATACAATATCTCAATACATCAATAATTCACAAGATTTATATAATTATACATATATAAAATATGCCCCACACATCCCATACCTCCCGCCCAAAACGACAAACCCAAAAACGAACCCAAGTGACCGACGACGACGGCTGGACCCATGTCGCAAGCGGCGGCAACGTGCGGCGCGTAATGCGCACACGTCCGCGAGTCACAACTGCAATCAAGGAATCAGACTCCGGGATATCCTCTGACCAGCCCGCAGAACCCACCCTGACCCCCGCGGAGGCACCGGGTCGACTCACGCTGTCCGAGCTGCAGGCGCAGTTCCGAACTCATCGTGAGAGGTGGGAGGGTTCGGAGAGCTGGACTAAGTTGACGGGCGTTTTGGATGAACGGCTGAGAAGGACACAGGAACAAGCTTCTTCTGATGCTGCTGCTGATGCAGATGCTTCTTCGGCCCCGGCCCGCTGCCCCGTCGACGCCATTGTCTGTATCGGGCTTGGGAGCCCGAGTGGGTTCTTGCGTGATGGATGGGTTGATCGGCGCTCTGTGTCGCTTTATCAGCTTGCTGCACTAGCGAGTATAAAGGATCAAGTTGCTTGTTCGTTTCCCCATTTTTTGGATATGGTTTTCTTGCTTTTCTTGCTTTTCGTTTTTGGATACACCTTTTTGGCTATATCTTGGATCCACTTCTGATCCTCTTCTTTACTTCGACTATCGCATTCCCATACCCAGTATATCCCACGCTAACCACACACCCTCACAGGTACAACTTCCTCCCATCTCAAAGTCTACGCCCAAGACCCTGTCTTCAACACACTAGACGAATCCCTCCTCTCAGCCATGAATATAACAGTCATCAAACACCCAGAGGCCTTTACGCACATCACAGCAAACACAATGCTCTTCTGTCCCGGCGCAGAACGCAAACACCTCGAATTATTGCTGCCGTCGAAGCCGTGGCTGTTGTTCGGTGGTCCGCTTGAGCATGCGGACTCTGGTGGTGTACTGCAAGGTTATGTGGATGGGGCTGGGTCGTATTGTTTGCCGGTGTTTGAGGCACTTGAGCATGCCTTTTGGAGTATGAGACTCTATTGGGTTGAGCAGGTCGTGGGTGCAGAGTGATATCTATATAGAAGTTTGGGTACTTTTGGTATTTTGGGGATTTTGGTTCATAGAGATGCATTGGGTTATAGACTAGGTATGCATGGGATTGGCGTTGGTGCATTTATTCCTTGAAATTGAGTCAAATATCATGATCCTTCCTATATGAAGCTTCCAAAGTCACCCACGTACCTACCCCGATCAGGTGCCTTCCTTTTCAGTCAAAACTCGTCACCTACCCCAGTTTGCTCATCGCCTTAAGCCACTAAGAAAATATAAATACCCCCTACCCCCCCGTTTCTCTCTCTTCTTCTTTCTTCCCTTTTCAACACTCCGGGCCCACATTGCACTCCGTGGTTCCCTGGACACCCACTATTTTTTTGAACTTCCTCAGCTTCAGGGTCATATTCAACATATATCTCCTGTTGTCCAGTGATCGGTGTTATCCTGAGGACTCTGACGAGTCTTCTGTAGGCGGCCTAGGCTAGGCTGCGAATGGCACGAAGCATGTATATGCGGGCTACCTACACGCTATCTTCGGATGCTTCCGGTGCTTTGCTATGACCTCTGCGGATACAGACTGTACGTGTCTATGGTGCTCCCGTTGTCCGTCAGGAGCTGAACCAAGGGGCTCTGTTCTCATCTCCTTTCACGTGCTCTTTGAGCCAATTTTTCGTGCTTACTTTACAGAGATAGCTCTCTGTTGTCTGAAGAATTTTCTGAGGACAGTTTGTTTCTTGGTTTCTTGGTTTCTTGGTTTCTTCCTTTTTATGGTTTCACTTCTATTATTGTTTTATTCCCATGTTTTATACAATAACACCGGAGGCTTTGCTTGAGGGCAAAAGATGATCACAATCAATGAAAGAAGCGAGTGGATAAATGTACGATAGTTCTTATAGGTACTTCTAGGCAAATCGAAAATCGATTGATTGATCTGTTATGTACATAGAGGCTGAGGAGAGCTAGTATATAGTTTAGCAATGGGAGACAAACCACAAACGTGATCCCTGTGAATATACCATGAAGACAAATCCCCACCGCAAAAAAAAGACATTGACCACCCTCCCTCATGAATGGAAAGGAAAGGAATGAACAGAACCACAGAAGATATGCAAGGTAAAACCAAGCATGCCCCGAGGAGAGCAGCAATGGGTAAAGACTGCACGAAAAAAGGACAGCAAAGATAATGAACCGCCAGGCAGAGAACCCCCGAAATTTTGAATCGAAATGGAAGAAGCGTAAATCCGAGCAACGCCGTGAGGAAGAGAGGTAAGAACTTCGGGGGTTCCCTTGTAATGAATGGTATCAGAGAAGAAAAGACAAACGCCAGTGCAGAACAGAAAGCAATCAAGACTAAGAACACAATACTTATGCAGATAAAAGAAAATTTCATGATCATGATTCCATAAGAGAGCCACGGCCGCATCTGATAGCATGTTACGAGGCCGTCTTGCCACCGCAGTCTGGGATCTTGAGACCCGTCTTGAGCTTGCGTGCCGAGTCCATCAGACCCCATTTATCCTCCCATTCCTTGCCAGGCGTGTTGAACTGGATTTTCCATGGTTCGTCGAAGGCCTCGAACCTATAGAGTGTTAGTGATCTGAATAGACCGGTAGATAAACAGTAAACAAGACATACCAGAAATAATCAGTTCCATTTTCCAGCGCAGGGCAGATCCAGTCAGCCATGAAAGTGTTCATGTTCTCGATACTGGCGACAGAACCAGGCGTGGTGTCGTCACAGACCTTGCTATCACCGCAGTCCTTGCCGCCACCGCTGGGCCATCCGACCTCTGAGATAATCTGCTTCTTGTCCGTGCCCTTGGTCAGGGAGACGTCGTGGGTTTGCCAGAAATTCCATGTCCAGGCAACAGCAACGTCGACGTTGACACCGGCAAAGAAGGGATGGACGTTCGACATGACGACGTCCACTTCGTCCACTAACTGCGCATCCCAGTTATCACCGAGGTCGGAGGTCGCAATCGATAGATCCAGATTGCGCTTCTTGACCTCCTTGGTGACGTCTCTGATGTACGAGATTAAGGTCGTCTGAGCAGATTGTTTGCTATCGCCGGCGCGGTAGAGGGCTTCGTTACCGACAATCACACCCTTATAGATGGATGTGTCCTTTGTGTCATCGAGGAGCTTGTAGAGGTGATTGATCTGTCGTTCGGTAGAGGTGGTGTTCGAGTCAATCCATACGCCGAGCCAAAGTTTGATATCCTTCAGCTGGAGACGATCGATCGCATGAAGAACCATTTCAGTCTGATTACAGTCCGTACCGTAAAGCCGCACTGTATTGGTCAACTGCGACAGGACAGCCATGTCACGGGTGATATTATTCTGCGACGGAGGCCACTTAACACAATCCGGGTACTGCACGCCCCACGGCGTGTAGTCCATTCCAGGGAAGACCTTGTGAAGATCCTTGTTACCCATCAAGGCCTTGATCTCCGAGGAATCCTTGTCGAGGTCCCCATTGGTCTGCGCATCACCCGTAGCAGTTTCCGCACCGGCAGCCTTGGACTTGTTCTCGTTATGCCGGCTCCCAATTGTACCACCCACCGCACCACCGATGATCGCACCCAGAATCACAAACCCAAGAACAAGACCGACAATCCAGCCCATCTTCTTGCGCCCGTCCACTCCATTACTTGGTGATCTCCCGGAATCTCCCTCACCACCGCTCTCCAACCCACCACCTGGAACCGAGTTATAGGCGACATCAGCATTCTTCTCGCGACCAAAGAAGCCGGTCAAAATACCACCAGCAGCAGCGCCACCAGTCGTGGCCGCCGCAGCAGGCGCAGCTCGATTGCGCGGGGGAGCAAAGTCCTCATCGCCATCATCAGCGATCTCATCGGGATTAATAATCTCGCCATTACTGTACGCCGTCGAGTGTCGCTGATAGGGCCCATCAGTGATGCCAGCATACGGCGCGGGGTATTGGTATGTGCTGTGTGCGGGATCGCTCAGATGCACCGAGGACTGACTGGGAGTCTGCAAGGCGGGGGAGGCGAGCGCGCCGCCTCTCGCCATATTCAATGCGTGGGGGTGTTCGGGAGGAAATGAGTCGGCGCTGGTATAGCCTGCTGAGGGCACGTAGGGTGTGTCGGAGCCGGTTGTGTTATAGTCGCGCTCGGCGGGGCCGGTGTATCCGTCGTTTACGCCTCGAGATGCTTCGATACCGCTCTGGCGACTGTGTGTATTGGCGATTCCTAGGGCGATTCCACTGATTCCGCCGCCCGGTGAACTGGGACCGAGATTGTCCATGCCCGGTGTGATGGTGTGGTTCTCGCGAGATCCGTGGGAATAGCGATGGGCTGGGGGTGGTGGGATGTCCATGTCTCTGATATTTTGGAGGGATTTGAGATGTCCGGGTGTCCGGTGTAGACCGGACTTTGAATAATAAGAAGCTTTGAGGTTGAAACAGTCGAACCCGTGAACGGAGAAAAATGCAGGGAAGGTGCCAAGGCAGAATAATAAACTGAATGCAGCACTGGGATCGGCTGAAGTCACTCTGAGACAAAGGGAATTCGAATCCTTTGGGGCTAGTCAAAGACAATAAACAAGAATCAAAAAGTAGAGCAGAGAGCCGAGTACATTAGCGGGATAAATAAGGCGTGGCCGGGACAACGGGAAAGCTTCGTTGTTGAATCACTAAATCACCACACTTAAAACACTTAAAACACTACTTTGTACGTAGTGTACGTACAAAGTAGTATTTTATAATTTACCATTCTATTATTGGCTAAACGTGGCTATACAGAATTTCAACGTTCCAGGGTCTTTTTCAGGGTCTTCCAGGGTTCCCGTGTGGACCTCGGTGGATTGATTCGTGTCCCTTACGTTGCTATTTTTATCTTGCTGTTAACAACTTGTTAACACTGTCAGTCAACTGTCAAGATTTCTCTATATAAACATATTCATATATCTCATTCAACGTTAAATAAAAGTCGTGGTATCATCTGAGGCACCCATATCCTAGATCATATCAATCGTATCCCCTCGTTTTTCTGTTTTTGGAATTTTTGTTGTTTTTCTTCCGCAAACCGTTAACGCCCTCGCATACCTCGACCGAAAACGATAAAATCAACCACCCCCCAAAAAAAACCTCACAAAACTAAAGTAACCAAAGTAAAAGCTAAATATGGGAAAAAGAAAATAATATCGCCTTTAACCTTCAACCTCCTCCGCGCTCCGCTGCGCCGCACTCTCACCACCAGACTCCAACCGACGCCCGCGCTCCAGGAACCGTCGCTTGCCACGACGAGTATCGAAATGATCCGGAATATCCCCCGCGTCCTGTCCCGCAGCGAGCATACTGCTTCGCATTTTATCGCGATAGGCATCCACTATTCGCAAACGGTTAGCGGGGTCTCTCATATTGTCTCAGCCGAAGTCAGATCGTTCCATGGGCACGTGTCGATGGGTTCGGGTGGGACAAAGTAGAACCCCAAGAAAGGGTAATATAAAACGAAAACATGAAAACAAGTAAACACTTACATGATCGCTGCAAAAATAACATCCGACCCGCAAACACACGACTCTGACTCCAGCTCATACGGTACCCGAGGTCATTAAGCATCAACTCCTTATGATGTTTTCTGCGGGAGATCTTCGGCACCTCGATCTCAGTATCGGCATCAAGCGACGGCGCAGGCACAGTCGTGCGACCGATAGTCGATGCTTCGGGATCATCCGCCTGCTCGGCGTCATCGCGGAAGAACCGCTTAGCTGGGACGACGCGGTTCTCGTCGCGCATCTGGATGGGGAAGTAAGTGCGCGGATAGACGGCGTTTGATTCGCGGTAGGAGTCCGGGATCTCGTCCATGTTGACCTTGTCGAGGACGACCTTGACGCGGACGCGACAGCCGCGCTGCGGGTCGTCGACTAGGATGAATTTGCGGCGTTTGCCGTCTGGGAGGTGGCTGAAGAGGTCTTCGTTTGTTGGGCCTTGCTCGTCGATGATGTGGTCGGTTGAGTCCATGCGGGCGGAGGTTGCGATTGTGTGGCGGCTTAGTGAGGTGAGGCTGTTGTCGCGGAGGAGGGGGGGCATGGAGGGTCCGCTGGCGCTGCCGCCGGGGGTTAGGGTTGTTGGGGCGTCGTGGAAGGTGTGGGCGGGGCGGAGGTCGGGGATTGAGGGTTGTGGGAGACGTGTGTCCATGCTTCGGTGGCCCGGATATTCTGTGCCTATGGGGATGGGGAGAATAATTAGCCTACGCTGTACAACTGCATGTTTGACATGTCGGGGAAAGGAGGTTCAGTTCCAAGGAAAGAAGAGCCAAAGCACAAGAAGCGCGGTGTCAAATGATAAAAAGGCGACAGAGCAGTGGAGTTGAACGGGGTATGAAATAAAACAAATAAGAACAAATAAGAACACCGACTGCGGACCAGGTAGGGATACAAGAGAGAGAGAATACATCTCATACAACCGTTGACACATCCTCATACACATACACACACACAGATCAGACCAGACAGGACACAAAACTCCCACATATACACATACACACAAGACATAGATCCGGTCCAACAAAAAAAAAGCCCCAAGGATAAGAAAATACATGAGTGATCCCGTCGCTCTTTGAAAGAGAAAAGAAAAGAAGAAGGAAAGAAAAACATCGAACGGAACAAAGCACAAAGCACATCACATGTGGTGAAACATACCGCTAACTTCCTCATTAGGACTACCATCAGGTTGATGATGATGATGCATCTGCGGCGGGCCCATCGACATGGGACCCAAACTCGGGCGGGGAACAGGAGCCGGCATAGAACTCATGCCGTGACCAGGCGGACCAGCTGGACCAACAGGGCCTTGCTGCGCCATATGAGCAGTCTGAGCGGGGACCGACTGTCTTCGGTTAATCTTAGCCATACGACGAACACGTCTGCTGCGCAGTCTCGGGTCCTGATTGCTGTTGCGCCAGCTATCAACAGCACGCTGAATCAATCCACGCTTTCCTCTCAGAGCGGGATTCAGCTCTGCCAGCGCCCAGCCGACGGCATTGCATTCTGTTTCGTAGACCAGTCGGTTCCCGCGATATTGGTCCTTACTGCAACAGGCGCGCGGGTACACGCAGTTCTCGGTTTTGAAATCTTGCGTGAGCGTGTCCACGATGACGGATTCCACGTCACACCGGATGGTGTATTCCATTTTCACCCGGTCTCGGGAATATTCGAAGGCGATCCACTGCACGCCGTTGCTGTCTTGTCGCACGACTAGCGGGGTCGTGGCTGGGATGGGGCCTGGTGCTGCGCTGGAGGTGGTGCCGCCCAGTGGTGGGCTGGCGTGGGGATTGCTGGCTGACATTGCGTGGCTGTTGGTTGCCGTGAGAGGAGGGTTCAGCATTGTTTGCTGTGGAGTAGTGGGGTGCTGAGAGGAGTCGAGTTTCATGATGGGGCTG